GGATAAGAATTTGGAGGAACACGGGTGGCAAACCAAATTTGAATCAGTATTATAGTAGGAAGACGTTTTTTTGATGCGCTATTGCCTGCCCCCTAAAAACATTTCTACTTAGGACATTTATTACTTCCGCTTATTTTTCAAACACAGTTAAATTGTAAATGAGAGTAGTGCAACTTTGCACAACATTCTGTTCTTTTACAATGTAATATCTTGAAGCGAGAGATTGTAAGTTTTGCATTTTTGGTTTCATGTGGCATTGTTTTAGGGGATAACCACAATTTTTAGATATAATTTTAATTTTCCAAGGGAAATTCCCAGTGGGTTAGTTTTTAGGTAAATTATTCAGAGTATCAATTTTGAAGTAAATTATGTGTTCCCATTTACATAGTTGTGTTTTTAAAGGTTTCTATCTGTGTTTTTTGATTATTCTTTGTAAAAGTGGTGATTCTAATATTCTTGGTTATCCTGTCAATATTTCACTTTTATGCCACTAAGTTTTTATTGGTAAATTAATACGCTCGTTTGTTGTGCAATTTGTGTTGGATTTTCTTGTGTCAAGGTTCAAACCTTTCTCGCACCCTGAAAAGATCCTGCTCCTGATTTTAAAGCCTCGCTTCAGAAGCAAAATCTTGATAACCCGCTTACCGGTTATGCCTGCTTATGTGAAGGTGGTAAGGTTGTTGTGTGGGGTGAAGGGTGGTTGCAAAATCTTGATAACCCGCTTACGGTTCATGCCTGCTACTGTGAAGGTGGTAAGTTGTGTGTGGGTGAAGGTGGGTATGTTAGAATATATATATTCTAACACGCATACCACCCTACGTACCACCTTCAACAGCACGCACACATGTGCAGTAAGCTTGTTATCAAGATTTGCTCGTGAAGCGAGCTTGAAATTCTCGGGAAGCAGGATCTTTCGGGTTCGAGAAAGGTCTGAACCTCGTCACAATAAGTTGCAAAGATTGTGAACAAACGAGCGTATAATTTACTCATAAAATTTGGTGGCGCAATTACACGACAAAAAAATGAACACACTTTTACAGAGAATAAATAGAACAAAAATAGAAACCTTACAATACACACTTCTAACTTCACTGTACAACAATTAAATCACCTTTCACGTAAAACAGTACAAGGTATGGCTCTCTTATTTTCAACTGCTTAAATAATTTGGGATTTCACTTGCTCTACTATTACGCATAACAAAATGATTCCCACTTTAATCTATTATAGTGAACTGTCGCGTTGCTGCGATCGCTTTTTTTTCTAACGAAACTGCTATGGTACAAACGCACGTGTCTCACCGACGCTGCGATGCTCGCTGCCAGATGATCTCGCCGATTCAAGGTTGTGGCCTCTTCAAAGTTTCGCCGAATTCTTCACTTCCTGCGTCGACCGTTCGAAGTCCCACGCTGAACCCAGATCCTTCGCACCTACATGCCCTGCCTTCCATCCAAGATCATACCTTTCGCGCGTACGCTTGAGCCTTCTTGGAGATGCTTCTTTTTCTATCTTCACACGCCTCGTTGTATAAATTAATTCGCACTTCTAGTATATCTAATTTACTACGCCCCTTTCATTTGCGTGCTCGGCCTAAGTACTACACTTTTGGCTTGTGCAGTAATAAGGAGCAATATGACTGTACCGGAATAATTCAGATTCCTTCTGCGCGAATCTAGGCAATATTAGTTTTATTGCCGATTCCAAAATTTACACCACTTTCTCCTCTCACTTCGGTAGTCTAATTTATACTACTCTAGCTCCACGTATTTAAATAAACTCCTACTCTATCTCGAGAAGACCTTGCTAACCTTGCTGTGATTCAAGCGCTGCCGATGCGGTCGTTGCCGTTGCTGGAATATCAGAGAGAGAGAGATCCCGAAGCGTCTTACCGTATTTATGACTCGACACCTGGGAAAATTTCAAGAGTGGGATTGCTTCTCCTCTTTCAACCCTCCACGGGAAAAACGTTGCTCGCTAGTTCGAGAGCTCTAGTACGATCAACGGATAACAGGTTGCGCGTTTAAGAGCCGCTGCTCCGCCGCGCCTGCTATACTCGCTGCTTGTAGGTGTTCACAGGTACTAGATGGTGGCGTTATGGGGTTGCACAATTATATATCAGACATAATAGCCACTTATCAGCCCACTGATAAGAGTGCTAAACAGCGCCACTTATCTGCGGCCCGCTGCTCGACCGCCGGAATTGCGGTTCATAGCAAGCGCGGAGGGGTCTGTCGAGACATGCCACCCCTCCAGGAGAGGCTGGGCAAGTGACTTCTTGAACGAGACGTCGAGGACCTCGATAGTGATAGTGATTCACTAGTCGAGGTGTCCGGACGTCGAGAGCGAAGCCGGTGAAGAGATAGACTAGCCATTTTGTTAAGAGAGTGCGAGTAAGAATAGCTAGTTATACAGAAACGAGCTGTAGAGCGGCGAGAAGTCAGTAAGTTGAATTGTTTTTGTTTTAACGCAATAAAACATTACATGGAAACTACGTGAAATAGTTAAAAGATTAGGACGAGGAAGGATAGTAGCCGCGATACGTGGGACGTGAACTATTACAAAGCGTTTGTAGAACTGTGCATTTAACAACACAAGCCCAAAGTGTTGCAAAGGACACCGAAATACGCCATTTGCAAAACTTTGTAACATGCTAGTCCAGTGGAGCGAAGAAGGAAGACTGAACGTGGATTTTGGTGCTGGGCGTGAATAAACACGAGAAGAAAGGAGAGTAGACATGGGTCTGGAGGCAGCAGCACGAAGACAGCGGTTTCGAGCGACATCGCGGACGCCTGGACTGCGGAGGAGCGTTGGAATTTAGGACAAGGTTAGGAGTACGGCGACGACGGGAGAATGGAGGTGGGCTCAACCCACAGATCAGAACGCGACGGCAAAAGTAAACAGAATTTGTAACGGGTGCCTAGGGCAGGCGGCGCTGTGAGCACGCCAGCGCAGCACAGGAAAGACTGAACTCAAGCAATAATCCAGTTTGATATCGTAGCGGCCAATGACACGAGTGAAAACGGCAAAAAGAGGCCTTGTAATCCGTGTAGTACGTTTCATTCATTTCGCTTAAAGGAAATTTAATGTAAATAGTTATGTGATATGTAATTGTGTTAATTTGTTGCAAGCGTTTTGAACTGAGAAAATTTAATAGAGTATAAGAAATAATTTCATTTGTTTTGTGGTGATTGAGTAAAGTAAGCTGATAGTTTACCAACGTTGCTGGCCAAGCAAATAAATACCGTGCACGGATTTTCATAGAATGAAATTAATTTGAAAGGATTAATCATTTAAAACATTATAAGTAGTGTTTGTAATTTCAAAGTGTTTCAAAAGAGTATTTCATTTCTTTATAATTTATTTGAAAGTGTTGTTTGTCATTTGGTTTTGTGTTTATTCAGTGTCCGTTGTAAATTGGTTTATAATTTGAAGAATATATGCATTGATTGGCCTATTTCTGTGTATTGGGAAAAACTTTCTTACACCCTAAAGATCCTGCCCCCTTGAGATCACAAAGCTCAATACGAGCATTCATTCTGCCGTCCTCTCCATCCTGTCTGAGTGGGCCTTAAGAGGGTAGTTAAGAAGGGGGGGGGGTCAGGATTAATATATAGCTTAACTCGAAGGCTGCTTACTGTAGTGTCTTCTAAATATGTTATTATAACTTGGTCGTCTGCGAATAATATTGCCACTAATTTCTGGTCGTTTGTTATCTTTATTCCCGCTTGAATCTTCGGTTTCCATTTTTTGTCGCGTAATTTAAGTAATTGTTAAAGAGTAGTGGTGACAGTGGACATCCTTGTCTTAGTCCTTTGTTCATCTTCATTTTGCTGTGTTGTGCCTTGGCCATTTTAAATAGCTAGTATGGAATCTTGGTACAGGATCTGTATATCATCGAGTTAAGTAAAATAAGCAAAGAATATCAAATGAAAATATCAAGCCAGAAAACTAAAACACTAGCCGTCTAGTGCAAAGACCATCGTAGAGCCAAAATAGTAATAGAAAATTCAATAATTGAATAAGTTATTGAGTTTGAAAATCTCGGAAATTCAATTCAACCAGAAGGATACAGAGGGACAAAATTAAAAAAAAAACATATGATAGAAACAATGGAATAATAAAGAGACATTTTGGACATACGAGAAAAGAAACAATGATAAGAATCCATAATATTACATCAAAATCATTGCTTAAGTATGGTTTAGAAATGTGGATAATGGGCATAAAGGAAACCAGAAGTATAGAAGTAGCTCAGGTGAAGTTAAATACGGTCAATAAAAGATGTGGTCTGTTATCAAAAAATAAATATTTTTCACCGGCGATCTAATAAATCAGGTGAAAAGTCTACGGGTAGTGTTAGGAGTAACTAGAAGAGACAAAATTCGAAATGAATCAGTTAGGAAAGAACTAAAAACATGAACAGAAGAAATAAAAATTTAGCAAAGGAAATGGAGAAGAAAATAATGGACAAACGACATCTACCACGGGTGGCATTAAACTATAGACCGAATGGCAAGAGGGATAGAGGCAGACCGATGATGGCACGAGCAGGAACACTTCACGAGATGGAGGAATATTTCTTTACCATCCACTAACACGACAGGAGCATCGCTCGTAAACCAGGGGTTTTGATGATATCTGTGTGTGTATGAAGAGAGGGAGGAAGAGACAAGAGAAACGTTGCACACTATTTATAGCATGGTTATATACTCTCTGGGCATAACGACAAACTGGACGACGACACTGGATAACGTCATAAATAAATCTTAAAATTATGCACATTCGTGCGTTTGTTTTTTGTCTAACAGTCTCAATGGTAAAAACTGCAATATCTTACGATCTTCATGGATTTTACTCTACACATATTTAACGTTTACAGTAAAGTCAAATAATGGAACCAAGTAGACTTACTGTAGACTTACTTTTGTTAATCTAACCCATTCTTCTTTTTCAATATCCCGCGCCAGTACATGCGAACTAGAACGCAGTACTTAGTGCAGATGAACTAGAATCTCTCTTTGCTAACTATACAATTTTACTACTGCAATTCTCTTTGCTTCTGTAATCGTGTGGAGATAGGAAAAAGTGCGAGAGCCGTCGACTTATTTTACGCCAGGAGATTTGAAGGCAAAATGTTGGCTGCATTGTTCACACAAAGTTAATTTTGTAGAATCAATCTTTATTCGCTGTTGTTATTGCTTCTACAATTTGAGAGATATCTACAGTTAATAGTTTAGAATGTTTTTCGAATAGCGATGTGTATCAGTTCTTAAAGACAAGGAAAATAAGAAATTTTTGTATAGCATGCTGTCAATAAAGCGGCCATTTTGTTTGGTTGAAAGTGCCGGTTGTATGAAGCGTCTATCCCGAAGAATATTGTTTTAGCGTTTCAAACACTTTGTGGATGTTAGATCCCTTGGAGCAAATTTTTAAATTGTTGTTTCTGTGGTGTTGACGTTATCTGTGTGTATAGTCTTGGAACAATGAGTTACCGTGATTTACGCGGTGATAATCTCCATAATATGATGATAGACCCTACCACTGTGAATGCCAGAATTTATGTTGGAAATATCCCGACAAATGAAATCACGAAGAGAGATGTTGAAGAACTGTTTCAAAAATACGGTCCCATTCTTGGTAATAATTTGTTGATCAATATTTTTCTATTTCCGTTACATTGCTAGAACATTGGAGTAAAATGTATTAATATCTTATTTAGGTGTTTCTTTGGTTAGGGGATTTGGATTCGTGCAGTTTGAACACGAGGCTCATGCATTGGAAGCTATTAAACATGAAAATGGTGTGATGTTTAGAGGGAAGAAAATTGGTGAGTTTTCACTTTCTACATTTCATTAATGAAATGTCGTACGAGCTTAATAGTGTTTAAGATTACACTGAAAGGCATGAGGAACTTGTTTGGTCTTTAGTGCACTCTCAAAATGCTCTTATCTGATATGTTGTCATTCAAAATACAACATTCCATAAGTCATATTGCAACACTTTTCTTTTTCCACAAAATTGTTCAATTTTATTTATATAAGTAATATGTAATCGTATGTTAAGAATATTAACAACTTTCGAAACTGTGTTTACCCAAGTTTAGATGACTACTAATGGTAAATGTTTTAATATTTACTGTTAGTACTTAACTCTTGTAAGTAAACATTTTTACTGTTGATATTTCTTAATACTGTTGATGTTTCATTGGCCAACAGTTTCTATAAAGAGATGACTTCTTAGGAAATCCTTTTTTATTTAGACATTTCTTTGATTATAACCTTTTACTTTTCCTTCATTTTCAATCTAATTGAAAGTAAAATAGTTGACATCAAAATGCTAATTGATGAATATTGTTATAATGAGTAATTTACACTTTCTTTTTATATATACAGAAGTGAACCCTGCTCGGGTATATGGAGGGAGGTCACGTGGTGGAGGTGCTGAATTGCCAGGTCCAAGAAAATTAGATGCTGAGGATCGTGATCCCTTCAGAGATCGTTCGCCAATTGATGATAGAGCTCGGGAAAGGGACTGGAGAGATAGAGACAGGTTTGTATTTTTTTTATTTAGAACAAAATTTATATTTTGTAATACAAATGCTTGAGGTGTAATATTGAATTGAATTGAATTAATGCCTTATTTTACACAGCAAGAGTCGGGCCATCAGGCTCGCTCTTCTGTCCATAATATAAGTATATCAATGGATAATGGTGATGAAGTAATTGAAATGATGAAAAGATATTTCATAAATTTGTTATTTGTATTATAGTTTATCAACAGCCACATACCAAATGCCATAACAGTTCTGGAGAATATGAAGGGAGAGGGGTCAACACTGAACCTCCAAAATAATTTTTAAAAAATTATGTTTTTAAGAACTAAAAACTATATAACTATAATTTTCTGCAAGTTTGTGTTAAAATATTTTTGGTTTTTGAGATACATACATAAGGAACATTTTGTACTTGCAGTCGTTTCTGCTCGGGACATAGATGGAAACTCCCTGTTTTGGAGAACTAGTTCAAAATTTATAATGTTCCTATTATTGAATAACTTTTATCTGAAAAAAGATTGCAGTGTTTATGGTCAAGCCTGACTATAAGAGAATTCTGGTGTTTCTATTACGCTATTACATAAGGTGATTGTTTTATATTTTTAGCCATCTTATAAGCATTGGAAGATAGTTAACAATAGTGATCAACAACAAATATAATTTAATCATAATTACTGTAATATATTATTATTAATATAAAATTATGATGACAACTTGCTGAACTTATTACACCACACACAAGTAAGAACCATAAAAAAGTACTACATTTATACTGCAGAAAATAGAAAACCTGCAAAATATTGTATCAAATCATTCTTATTCTGCAAAACTGATGAAATGATGGAGGTTCACAAATTCAGGAACAGTACAATCTGAAGACAGCATCAGAACAAGAATTCTGATCATTTCCTTTAAAGGAAAAAGCTCTGTACCTTTCAATTAAGAAAAAAATATGAAATTTGGTAGAGTAGAAAACTTTTTCCTTTCTTAATGAAAATCTGGTTAAGTAGGGTACATGGTACACCCTTAGAGAAATGGGGCAGGGGGGGAATCTTCTTAGACCCTCCCTCAAATTACGCGAAGCGCTCTGATAGAAATTATTAAACGTACCGATAGGCGATTTTTATGGCAGTTGGATTTTTAAGACAGGTCATTACTAATACCTGAATCATACTCAACTTCCTGCGAACCATGGCCGCTTCCGCACAGAACACTTACACACATAAGGAGTGGCTCTTTTCTATATACACTTCCACTCGAAACCATCACACAACTCCTTTCACTTGGCCAACCTCACGGGACACTGACACACAAGACACTTAAATCCTGCCGCAATCAAACCATGTTCTTGTGCCCATTCAATGACAGCCAAACACCCCCTTCGATGCAACTCGTAAAAAAACACATTTATTCTCACCATCATAGTGCAGTCACTCAAAACGAAATGACAAAGAATATGAAGAACGCTGAAACTTAACCATACATCAGCAACATTGCTCTCTTCAAGAATTATAATATTGCAGCATTTTGAATATCAGAATAGCTTTCAGCATGTGTTACTATATTTGCTCATTAATGTAGCTCCTTCACATAGGACATGATAAGGGATAATAGCCAAATCTGTAATTGCCCTTGTGATTAGTGTTTTAATTTATGTGAGCATGTAATAAATATTTCTTATCACAGAGTGACTGATTTCTGGAGAAACAGAAAACCTGGAAAACTCCGCGAAATCTAAACGGAAAAAATTATATAGGGAAAATGGAGGAAGAAGGCTGGTTATGTAAAAAAAAAAGTATTAGAATTGAGCCTGAACCTTGACAGAGGGAATGTTGTATGGATGTGTGAAGAAGATAAAGAAATGATCCTATGAAGTCCCATGTGTAGTTATTCATGAAATTATGCAAGTTCTTTTTGTTAGCAGAACAGAAGCAGTAATTACCATTTAAAGGAAGTGGTAATGAAAAAGTTATTTTCTTTAAGTCGTCTTTGATTGGTTTGTACAGCCTGATGTCATACCATTTTTGGCTGAAATTTCATGAGATTTCATTACCTTGTAACAAGTAGTATTGGAAGATATCTTTCATTCCCAAATTCATATTCTAGTCCTAACAAAACTACCAATTATCCATCTCTCATAATGCAGTGATGCAAATTATTACGGATTACACATTGGATTGCATAACTTGCCTTCTATAGCATTTTGCTTGAAGATAAAGCTATTGTGATATAGAATGCTTTTCATTTTAAACCAATGTTTACATTGAGAAACATTCTTGTGCCATGTTAAACAGACTCCAAAAGGTGAGACAAATGTTGTTGGCTAATACAATAAGAAAAGTGTGTCTGAGTGAAGTTAACTAAACCTGTTTTGAACAAGGTTTTTGTATAATAAAAATTTAATTTAATTTTAAGTTTCAAAATACCCTTTACAATTTAATTTTCGTATTTCTTTGCATTTGGAGACTTTCAATAAACATTTGCTGTTGAAAAATATATTCTTCAGAAAACAATTTTTCAAAAAAATTTATCCCAAATTTGATTTAAAATGTAATTTTTGAAGCAAAAATTCTCGCAAATTATAAGTAACTTTTTTTGCTGTTGTAACTAAATTAATATTTTCTGTAAGTAAAAATTGAGTTTTAAAAGTTGAATTTGAGAAGATTTTTTGAATTGACACAAGTAGATAAAATAACCATACTGTTTTTATTAATGATCGAGTCAGTTCTGGTTTTGAGCTGAAGTGGTATGTTCATTCATGAAGGAGGTGAACAAAAGCTTTGAAAAACTGATCAAGGATCTGTGACCATGACTTCTGAATGTTTGTTCCAAGATTCCACAACTGTGTTAGTCAGGGCATTTTTGTATTGTACTAGCTGAATTTCATCTTCATCAATTTCATAGTATGACCTCTAAGTTGGGATTTTGTAACTTTTGCAAGTTTCTAGAAGATCAGTGTAAGATCGTGTGTCTCAATCATGTCAGATTGTTTTCTTCTATCACTCCAGCAATGTCAGTCCAAGTTTTGCTAATCGCTGTTCCTGTGTGATTTTTCCTGATACCAGCTGGAATACTTGTGGCGCTCTCCTCGAGTTTTTTCAGTAAATTAATTCTTTCAAGGAAATGTTCCATAGTGAGGCAGGTTGAATGATGTAAGTTTTTGTACAGGGCAGTGAATGCTTTGCTTTTAATCACTGTAAAAGTTTTATTAAAGAGTTTCACTTAAAGTGTTTTTGCTTCAGATTTTTTAAATTTGTATCTCTTTCCAACTTCCATTTTTGTCTCCCAAGTATCTTAAAGTACATAGGAAATGGATACAGTCGTAGGTTGAGTTACATAGGTATTTTTTAATTTAATTTATTTTAAATTGTTACAAGTGGTATAATTGGGATTAATCCACAAGCTCAATTCCCTTTTCTGAGCTAAACTAGTTTAGTCATAAAGAGTTATGAGAAGTATGCCCTATAAAATGTGCAACTACTGGCATCACAATTTTGTTTTGAAGTAGTACGGGAAAAATATATTTGCTACATACTCATCAAATAACACCTTATTCATCTATCAGCATTTAGATCACCCAAAAGCCCACCGATCATGAGCACCACTAGCCATTCCAGCTGGTGTACAAGCGTATCGATTAACTACTGTTGTTGACAGCATTTTCAGAAATGTCAAATTTTCTTTCTAATAATTTCCTGCTTCCTGATAGTGACTTTAGAGACTTTTTCTGCTAGTACTTACCCTCCTCTATGATTTAAAAAAAGAGGTTTTATCAGTGTTTGGTTCTTGGAGGGCTGACAGAAGATCCTTCTCTCTAAATAATTTCTGACTTCTTCAAACCACTTTTTAATTTCATATTTTGCTCTCTTGCAGTTGAGAAATTTTGACATACAATTCTCTGAATTTTCAACTGCCCTGTTGATATGCGGCATGCGTTGTTGTGGTATTCCAAACTGACATGTTGTAGGACTTGCAAAAGGAGCGGGGATATTTCAAAAATTGCAAAATTACACTATAATACTTTTTTAATGTGCATGGCCTTTCTTATAGAACTTACTTTTTAGAACATATTTTATTTAACAAAAAAATCTTTTTATCATCAATTTTGTACTTTTGCAGCGTTAATTTGTGTTTTTTCCATTTTTCAAAAATAAAGTATGTTTGCTAAAAATGGGACCATCACCACTTTCTTTCGCTATATTTGAGAACAGAATTTAGAGCTGGTTTTGAGAAAGTAATTGTTTCAAAATGGCCTGTTTCATATAAAATTACACAAAAACTAATATTTTCATAAAATTGAATGAGACATTATTTCAAGATCTATTTTTGATGAATGGATTTCATTAAAAATTACTATCTTCAATATTGTAGATGTAGTAAGACACTCAAAAAAAAATTTAATGGTCGCAATTATCGAAAACTGACAGTTCAATGTAAAATGGGACCAGCACCATTTTCTTTACCATTTTTTCTGTTATACAAGGGAGAAAATGTAAACAATAATGTGGAGCCATTTTTAAGAAAAGATTGTTTAAAGCTTTTCAAAAATTGCCTATATTTTATACAGAATAACACAAAAACTAATTATGTTTTGGAAAAATTGAACCAGACATTATTTGACATTATTGAGAAACAGATTTCTTTAAGGAACAAATTTATATCTTTGTGATTGTAGTTGTAGGAAGATGCCGATATGTTTTTGATATTTTGCAGTTTTCAAAAATTCAGGGTGTGCAACAAAAATGTGATTTATTCCATTTCTTTATGTGCATTTTGATCTATCAGAGGAAAAGTGTAAGGAAAAAAATGTTGACCCATTTGTGAGAAAATTATGGAGACTTCATGAGAAATACTTCCAAAAAATCAAAAGTTAAAAAACCTAATGTCACAACATAAATATTGTTTGAAGCAAGTACCTTTAAAATGATATTAAAATTGACAAAAAAATGTAAAAAATTACTTATTGGAAATCAACAAAAATGAAAAAAAAAGACATAAAATGAGTCATTTCCTTTTCTCATAACATAAAATGAATTTCTATACTAAATGACATTGTTCTAAAGTGAAAAGAATAAAGATGAAACCTCAGTTTCTTTCAACAATTTAAATTTGTTGTTTGAAAAAAGTTCATTTTCTGCAGGTTTTCTCAATCTCATTTTCTTTGTATGTTGTCTTCTATCATAAACTTATGGCTTACATTGTACCTTTCTGGCCAGTTTTCAAATTATTATTTATTTGATTTAAATGGAACATGGAGGAATTATGCTCAAACGTACGTCTACCTACTCCTAAATCTACTTCTGTGTTTAAATCAAAATATATGACAGTTGGTTAAATTATGAAAATTAGTAAAAACTCTGATAATAGAAAACTGCTGATGCATTAGCTGCACTTTAGGCCCCACAACATTACAACTTAATATAATGCCCCTGCAAATAGAGTATTTGTTGTTGACTGGCAATTGTGGTGATAACCATTATTGGAGAATAATTGTAACTATTCAGTGCTTTTCTGAGAAATATTTTTCTTTATGTGCTTTAATGAGCTTTCACTTCTGTAGCCTTGTTTGGAAATTTGTGTTCAGGTAAATAATATTTTTGCAGATTTGATAATTTTTCTGCAAAGAGTGGGAGTATGGAACGTGGAAACTATTATGGACGTGATGGTGGCTTTGGAAAAGACACAGGACTTTACACTGGCCAAGACAAGTTTCGAAGCGGTCCAAATGTGGGCCCAGGGAGAGATGAGCGAGGAAGCAACTTTGGGTTAGTTATTATCATTGTTGCTAAACATTGCTGGATATTTTTTTAAATAATTGAAAATGAAATGAAAATCAGTCATTCTCCCTGCTAAAGGAGATTCGGATTAGGTTTAGTTTTTGCGGTGTAATTTTAATAGAATTTAAGATATGTTTTCATCGTAAAAATATTTCATGTCAATGAATCTTCCCTGGACACAGAATATAAGCTCTTAATACAATTTTGAGCTTATTTTATCTATTAAAATCCTTGGATAAATAATGTTTACGGCTTTTCCACTGAATATGAGATATTTGCCTTTTAGTAAAAGTCAAAATTGACTTGATATTGAGTTGAATTTAAATTTGAAACTATCATTCCTAATACAATTACATTTTTATTTCTTTTACCCTTATATTACTTCCTTCAATATTTCTCAAATATTTATGCAAACTTTTTATATTTGTTACCTATAATTCTGAAGTTGGGATACTGAATATTTTGGTTGTTGCAGGAAAGATCCATATGGCTCGAATACATTTAGGCCAAGTGGAATAAGTGATGCAAGGCCATCACTGCCAGCCAGAGATTATGCCTCTCCTAATAATGTGAATCCTCTTGAAAGAACTAATGATTGTGAAATTATAGTATTCAATAAGGCTCAAAGGTGAGTAAACAAAGACCATGGGCAAAGCATTGGGCTATCCTTGAGAGAGATCATTTTATTTTGATGGAAAACGAGTAAAATATTGTTGTATTAACGTACATATTTAATGAAATTAGATAGGTTTTTTTCTCATCTAAATTTAATGACTTTTTATTAACATTAAATTTATATAATTAATTAATGTCTTGAAATTCAACTACGAATTAAAAGTAATACCTTTGAAAGTGCTCTGGCAGTAACATTGCTCTGGGCAATTACTTCCAGTATCCATGGGGACTCTGTCAGTAAGATTTAAGAAATGAGAATTAGGATGCTTCACTTGTGCTCTTCCTTAAAAAGTCAGTTGATAACTCAGGAATTACGCTAAGTGAGAGTATTAAATGCACTGTAAACTGTAAACCTGTAAGAAATATTAAATGCTGCATGAATGTTTTTATTCAATGTTCAGAGACTCTGTTCCTTCTGCCAATTCTCTTTTATTTCCTGCTTTATTGTTGACTTCTATCTTTTTTTTTTTTTTTTTTTTTTTTTCCTTTCTCTTTTTCTTTCTCTCTTATTTCTTTGCCATTGTTGTACATGGTAGTGAATTTAGTTAATTTGCTTCATAAAATATGCTGTTTTTTTTAGAATTGTGTGGAAAACAAAAATAGGGAAGTAGGATTCGTCAATTTCTTGTATACTTATTCAAAAATGCTTCAGAGTGACACAGACTTTCTTGTACTAGTTAGTTTCCTTATCTTTTGAATCTGTGTTATGTTTTCAGTTTTGCCCCACTCTTTTCACAGCTGTCATATATTGGCACCTAAAAGACATTGTTTCATGTTTTTAAAGTTTTTCAGGTCTCTAATAGTAGAATTGAACTAAAACTTAAATATGTTGTAGAAAGGAAAAACCTGTGCTTATAGACACATTTTCATTGTCAAATTTGGAATTGTTTTTAAGATAAAGGTGGTAAAAATGCCTGTTTTGAAGCGTTTCTGAAAATGTGGGTTTTGAAGCATTTCTGAAATTGTGTGTTTTGAAACGTTTCTAAAAATGTGCGCTTTGAAGTGTTTTTGACAATGCGTTTTGAAGCTCATTTTCATGTTTTTGATCTATTTCGTCAGAAATAATTTGAAGCAATGTACTCTCAAGAAAAATAATGTGAAAGAAATTCCCTTCTCCATAGTGAAATTATTAACAACATGAGAAACATGTGACAAAAATTATGTTTGTGTAATTTTTTAAAAAACTGAAGAATATATCAAGGTTGCATTACTATCGTGCTGTGTGGTGGATGTTTTGAAAAAACAAAATAATACGTCATAATAACATTGATATGTTATTTAATGGATATTTGAAAAATCAAATGAATACATCAAAATGGCAATAATAGTATGCAATTCGGTGGATATGATAATGATTATGATTATGTCACCTGATACAGAGTACTTACAGATTTGCACTATCCATACAAAGAGTTTAAAGCAAAACTTTGAGCCAATTGTGAGAAAATCTCACACTTGTAACATTTTTTTATATTGCTCATATTTTAATCAAAATTGCTCCGAAACTATTTTGAAAACAATGAGCATGACTTTAATTAAATAACTGATTGTGGCAGTCATTTGAAGAACTTTTAACTTCAATATTGTAGTTCAAATTTTTGTAAATTGTGAATATTCTGAATTGAGAGTAACAATTGGCCCTACAACATCTTTGTAAGTGTATTTCATTTTATTCTTACAAGAAATTAAAAGAAAAATTTTATTCAATTTTTGAGAAAATAATTAAAATGTTCTAGGGGCTTCATGTAAAGTACCAAAAATTTAAATTATTTTTTCAAAATCGTAGAGTTTCTAGTTTGGCGAGATATACTGCGGAATTTTTATTTTTGGAAAAAACTTAATAATTAAGGGGCTAGTGTTCACGTACAGATGGGCAGCCAGACAGTTTTGAAAAAAGGTCATTTTGGTATCAGCGGATCGCACAATGTGGTTATCAGTAGAAATCTCTGAATCAATTTCCCACAGCATTACATCACTTTCTCTGTACTATGACTATTACTTTTCACTTTCCCATATACATACGTATATATGGATGGGCAAAATAATGTAATGCTATGAGAAAAGAGAAAAAACATTTTATTGCTGGGCCCTGATAATGAAAAAGTGGTTAAATTAAGGGGGGAAATCCTCTAACACGTGGTGTAGCTAGAATCCCTGTTTTGTAGGACCTTTATACCGAAAAAACAATTGGCGGTAAAATATCAATCCATTCGTCTGGTGTCGGTGAACACTACTAGCGCCTAAACCATGCTTAGGATTTTTTCCGAATTGAAGAAACCTCTGTCAATCTAGTTTGAGTTGAAACTCTGAGATTTTAAAAAACATTCTTCAAAATTTGAGGGGACTTTAAATAAGTTCTCCCCATTAACATTTTCTCACAATTGGTTCAATTTTTTTCTTAAAATCTTGTAAGAATAGAGTAACATACACTTATAAAAGTGGTGAAGGTCCGATTTTCTTGGTTAACTCTGAATTTCAAATGTATGAACTTTTTTAGGCAACTGCTCACAACTACACAAAGATAGAATTTTTTCTTTCAAATAAAATTTGCTCTCCATGGCGAGTTCATTCAATAAGATTGTGTACATTTCTTGAAAATCTTAGTAGTTTTCGTGCAATACTGCGTGCAACATGTGCATTTTAAAAAATTACAAAAACTAAATTTTCTCAAACACAGAAACACAATCAGATTTTTACTTGTCTCTTATGTTGTTAATATTTATATTAGCCGCAATTGGTTTCCATTATTGTATTTATTTTAGTACATGTCATTTAAATAATGTCATAAAGTTTGTTGAAAACTCAACCATTTTCTGTGAAAACTAGCTCAAAATACCGCATTTTCAGAAACGCTTAAACACTGTTATCACATAAATGGCTCCAAATTTTTTTTTCAAACTTTTTGAATGGATAGTGCTCTTTGCACTCTTTAAAATTGTAAAGATAATTTTGGGGGTATTTTTTTATTGTTTCAAAAATAACTCCTATGTAATTTTTTTAAATATCTTTCACGACATCAATATGCACATTTCCATTAATTTGTATATGTGTGTTAATGTGCTTCAAATTACATTATACGAGTTCATCCAAAGATATAGAATCGCTTTTTGTGTGCATTTTGTGGTAAAAATATTAATCTGATCTATGTGAGCTGTGTATTTTCCACCATTAGCGCCAGTCTCTAAGTACCACTTATTTTGTTTAATCTCTTGATACATTGGACGAATATCCTGTAACTTTGAAGAAAATTAATCTTTTCCTGTTTTCGACAACAACACTACTTCGCACAATTGAGACTGTACGTTTGTTCTTACTGACTCTTTCTTATATTTGTTTATTTAACTTAACTCTGTAAAGAATCACAATAATGTTCCTCGATCTCATATTTTCAAATAGAGATGTGCACAAGTGTTTCTCCTGAGATTGAATGAATAGTGAGTGCTGATGTGCACCATCCCCCACTCTGTATCGATTTTATTGAAGGCGAAGATGAACAGTTTATTCTGTATGATGATTGGTTTTATGACTTTAAATCTGGCATTTATGATAGTAACGTTACATTTTTAGCCACCTTATATTCTTATCTTTTAAAGAGTTATAATATCTGAGTTTTACTATTGTTTACTTTTTTATTGAGCTGTATGATCCATTAAAACGTAGAAGAAATCCTAGATTTCCAATTTGGTACAGTGGTGAGCTCATTTCGTATATTGTACGTAAAAAGGAAGCTAGCTTATGTTACAAGAAATTTGATTCGCTTATGCCATGTACCTTATTTTCTAATCTTAGACACCGTTATAAAGAGCTAGCCAAGCATGATTTGATAATTATAATACTTATATTCAGAAGCAACAATTTCAAGTCTAAAGTATTTTTGGAGATACATAAACTGCAAGTAAAAAAAAAAAATGTCTTCCATATGTTATGTATAGAAATGGAATTGTTGACAGTAAATCAATTGCTAATGAATTGGTGGTCTATTTTTTCAGTCAACCATTGAACCAAGTTGGTAATTTTGCTCTGCAATTTTAGACTCCCAACACAGTCAATAGTATTGAGATTTCTGTTTCTGAAATGTATGTCAAAATTCTTGGATTGGATGTAGGTAGGGATGGGGATGGAATCCCATCAAATTTCCTTAAAAATACTATTTCATTTCATCTCAAATTCTAAAACTTTTGTTCGACAGATCATTAATTTTGATAGGCTGTTTGCCTGAAGAATGGAAGTGCTCCTACATTATTCCTGTCTTTAAGTCGATGACAGAAGTGATATTGTTAATTACCATCAGATTTCAATTTTAAGTACAACGGAATTTTTTGAATCCATTGTTTCTGATAAATTCAAATCATTAATCTGTCCTTTTATGTCCAGAAGACAATTTAGTTTTATAGGCAAAAGAAGTATTGATGCAAACCTTGTACTCTCTACTAATACATCTTGGAGTTGCTCGAAAAGAATTGTCTAGGTGATAGCATATATACAGATTTTTCAGTGAATCACATGTTACTGTTACAGAAACTTAGGTCTTTTGGAATAACTGACAAGTTACTGTATTGGATCTTTAACTACCTGTCAGATAGAAAGCAATGTGTGAAATGTAGGGAGTCTATATCTAACTTTTTCTGAGGAACTTCAGGTCTCACACTTAGGTCCTTTGTTATTTATAATGTTTATTAATGATTTATATCATTTTCTGAAATATAAACGAATGAGGTAGAGTTCCTATTTTTCACAGATCATTGTAAACTTGAAGTCAATTAGCAGTTCAAATGATGTTCTTTGTTTACAAAATGCCCTCGATTCGTGGCTTCAGTGTAGTAGAGTTTGAAATTCTTTTGAGTCTGGAATGAATTCACTGAATAAAACTGTTTTTTGTTTTGCTTTCAACTGAAGGAACAATATAATTTTAAAATGCAATTGCTAATGAAAATATTTACATGTTAGTTTCTC